ACCGAGCCACTCCAAGCACCTACAAATCGAGCCACTCCAGGCACCTTCCCACCAAGCCACTCCAAGAACTTCTACGCACCGAGCGACTCCAACCACCTATCGACAAAGCCACTCCAAGCACCTACGGGTCGAGCCACTCCAAACACCTACCGACCAAGCGACTCTAAGCACCTACTGACCGAGCTACTCCAAGGACCTATACCGATCGATCCACTCCAAGCACCTATACCGCCTGAGCCACTCCTACCACCTATACCGATCGAGCCACTTCAAGCACCTATACCGACCGAGCCACTCCAACCACCTACCAACCGAGCTCCTTCCAAGCACCTATCCACCGAGCCATTCGAAGCACCTACCGACCGAGGAGTCCAAACACCTATATCGACCGAGACACTTCAAGCACATATACGGATCGAGGCACTCCAAGCACCTACTGACTGAGCCATTCCAAGCACCTACCGACCGAGCCACTCCGACAGCTACCGATTGAGTCGCTCCATGCACCTACAGACCAAGCCACTCCAAGCACCTACCCACCGATTCACACCAAAAACCTACCGACCGAGCCACTCCAAGCATCTACCGATCGAACCAGTCCAAGCACCTACCGACCGATCCTCTCGAAGCACCTACCGACCAAGCGACTCAAAGCACCTACCGACCGAGCCACTGCAAGCACCTACTGACCGACCCGCTGTCGGGCCCGAACCCTGAAGGACTTTTGAGCCTTGGTCGACCCCACTGCGGGTCCCACTTGGCTCGACCCACCCACACTCATTCTCAGGGCGCGGGTCGTTCGTCCCAGGGGCACCCCCACCTAGTGCTATGAGATGGATGGGGTTGGGCCAATAGGGCGAGAGAGCTTGACATTGGGGATGTAGCTCAACCCTCTAGCCGGGTGGTAGCCTCACTGGTCTAGGTCCGCAGGCGTAAGGTTTTCGATTCTCTGTTTGTCTTACCAGGCAATTGCTCCTTCCAATACTCAGGCAGTCCAGGGAGGTTCCACCTCCCTCCTTCACCCACACCCATCCACCATAGCCAGGCACCTTCAACCTTCACCTCCCTCCTTCACCTACACCCGTCCACCATAGCTATGCACCTTCAACCTCCGCCTCCCTCCTTCACCCTCACTCATCCGCCATCGCCATGCACCTTCAACCCCCACCTCCCTCCTTCACCTACACCCATCCACCATAACCGTGCACGTTCAACCTCCACCTTCCTCCTTCACCTACACCCATCCACCATAGCCATGCACCTTCAACCTTCACATCCCTCCTTCACCCACACCCATCCACCATAGCCAGGCACCTTCAACCTCGACCCCCCTCCTTCACCTACACCCATCCACCATAGCCATACACCTTCAACCTCCACCTCCCTCCTTCACCCACACCCATCCACCATACCCATGCACCTTCAACCCCCACCCCCCTCCTTCACCTACACCCATCCACCATAGCCATGCACCTTCAACCTCCACCTCCCTCCTTCACCCACACYCATCCGCCATAGCCATGCACCTTCAACCCCCACCTCCCTCCTTCACCTACACCCATCCACCATAACCGTGCACCTTCAACCTCCACCTTCCTCCTTCACCTACACCCATCCACCATAGCCATGCACCTTCATCCTCCACCTTCCTCCTTCACCTACACCCATCCACCATAGCCATGCACCT